GTATACTGACAGAGAACTTCCAGAAATACAAGCTGGATTCAGAAGGGGACGTGGAGCAAGGGATATTATAGTTGATGTCAGATGGATCTTGGCTCAAAGCAAAGAATACCAGAAAGATGTTTGTGTTTTATTGACTGTGCAAAGGCATTCAATTGTGTGGATCATAACAAATTGTGGATAACATTGAGAAGAATGGGGATTCTAGAACACTTAATTGTACTCATGAGGAACCTGTACATAGACCGGGAAGCTGTCCTTTGAACAGAACAAGGGGACACTGCATGGTTTAAAATCAGGAAGGGAGTGCGTCAGGGTTGTATCCTTTCACCATACCTATTCAATCTGTATGCTGAGCAAATAATCTGTGAAGCTGGACTATATGAAGAAGAATGTGGCATCAGGACTGGAGGAAGACTCATTAACAACCTGAGATACGCAGATGACACAACTTTGCTTGCTGAAAGTGAGGATGACTTGAAGCATGTACATGAAGATTTAAAACTACATTCTGCAGTATGGATTACACCTCAATATAAAGAAAACGAAAATCCTCACAACTGGACCAATAAGCAGCATCACGATAGATGGAGAAAAAATTGAAGTTGTCAAAGACTTTATATTACTTGGTTCTACAACCATTGCCAATGGAAGGAGCAGTCAAGACATCAAAAGACATATTGCATTGGGCAAATCTGTTGCAAAAGATCTCTTTCAAGTGCTGAAGAACAAAGATATCTCCTTGAAGACTATGATACACCTAACCCAAGCCATGGAATTTTCAATCACCTCATATGCATGTGAGAGCTGGACAATGAATAAGGAAGATCAAAGAAGAGTTGATGCTTTTGAGTTGTGGCATTGGCGAAGAATACTGAAAGTACTGTGGACTGCTGAAAGAATGAACAAATCTATCCTGGATGAAGTGCAGCCAGAAAGCTCCTTGGAAGTGAGAATGGTCAGACTTTGTCTCACCTACTTTGGTTATGTTGTCAGAAGGAACCATTCTCTGAAGAAGGATATCATACTTGGTAAAGTGGAGGGTCAACAAAAGAGGGGAAGGCCCTCAACAAGATGGATTGACATGGTGGCTGCAGCAATGGACTCAGGTATAGTAGGGATTGTGAGGCTAGCACAGGACCAGGCAGTGTTTTGTTCTGTTGTACGTAAGGTTGCTATGAGTTGGAGATCACTCGACAGCACATAACAACATCAACAAAAGGTGTTCTGAGAGGTCCCTGGGTGGCACAAATGATGTGTGCTTGACTACTAACCTAAAAGTTGGATGTTCGAACCCACACAGTGGCACCATGGAAGAAAGGTCTGGCAACCTGCTTTCACAAAGATTACACCCAAGAAAATCCTATGGAGCATCTACACTGACACTCATGGGACTGTCATGAGTCTGAATCTACTTGAGGGAAACTGGTTAACAAGCAACGAGGACTGGCAGCTGGCAGTTCAAACCCACCAACCACTCTGCAGAAGGAAGATTGGGCAATCTACTTCTGTAGTGATACTGCCTCAGAAACCCAAGGAGGGGTCACTATGAGTCAGATCCAACTCAACGGCAGTGAGTTTGGTTTGGTTTCTTGAGGACTTGTTCACTTGTAACTGTTTTAGGCAGTTGTGATTTACAAATTAGGATGGAGTGCCTAATTTAAGGGCATGCTTTAAGAACTTGCTGTGATTGATCATGCTAGCAAGAAAATAGAAGGAAAGTAGGGGAGTGGGCTGTCTCCAGATATCCACTAGGAAGATGACCCAAGTAGTGATGGTCCCTTCGTGTTATGTCTTAAAAGATGCCAGACACCATCAGCAGCAGCAGAATCTGGAACTTGTTAGAAAAGCAGATTCTTGGACCTCACTCCACAGCTACTGAATCAAAAACTCTGAAGGGAACCCAGTAGTCTATGTGTCTTATAAACCCTCCAGGTGATTCAAATGCATGAAGAATCTTTGGAAATTTCATTTACCTCATCATGATGAGAATTCGTTATGCCTATACTTGCTCTTAAGCTTGACTCAAAATGATGACGATGATGATAATGTCAATAATAACAATGGCAACCACTAATCTGTTTTCTCTATATATGGATTTGCCTATTCCGAACACTTCATATAAATTGAATAATTTAAAATGTGGCCTTTGTGTCTTTTTTTTTTCTTACTTATCATGTTTTCAAGTTCATCCATGTTATATATCAGTACTTCATTTATTTTTACAGCCAAATAATATTCTATCACATGAATATACACCAATTTGTCTATCCACACATCTGTTGATGGACATTTGATTTGTTTCTATCTTTGGTTATTGTGAATAATGAAGCTTTGAATATTTTTGTACACATTTTTTTATAAACACCTGTTTTCAATTGTTTTGGGTAAAAAGTAATTAATCTGTGCTGACTCAAAGAAGCAGACAACCAAGTATCTTAAAATCATCACTGTCATTCAACAAATAGTTTTGAGAACCTACTATTGCAGCTTTGAATGCTAAGCACTGGGAATACAAATTGCTATGTAACAGGTATCATCCTTTCCCTCATCAGGAATGACATAAAATTAAATAAGTGAGTAAAACGCAGACATGGCAGCAATTGGGATAAGGGTTCCTCTTCTGTTTGCTGTGAAAGGAAAGTAAAAGCTGGTAATGAAGCATCTGAGGAAGATCCTCTGACAGGATACTTTCAGATACGAGAAACATCTAAAACAACAAGTAAGAGTTGCTTAAGCAATAATGGCATTTATCATCTTGTATAAATCCAAGGTAAGGAAGTTCTCAGGGAGTTCCTTGGTGATGCAAATAGTTAACATACCTGGCTGCTAACCAAAAGATTGGAGGTTTGAATCCACCCAGAGGTGCCTTGGAAGAAAGGCCTGGGGATCTGCTTCTAAAAACATCAGACATTGAAAACCTTGTACAAACGCAAAGTGCTGCCATCAAGTCAGATCCGACTCATAGAGACCCCTCCTTGGGTTTCCGAGGCGGTATCACTATGGAAGTAGACTGCCCAACCTTCCTTCCAAGGTTGGTGGGTTTGAACCACCAGCCTTCTAGTTAGCAGTCACTACGCCACCAAAGCTTCTTGAAAATCTTGTAGAATTTAGTTATACTCTGACATGTCAGAGTTGATTCAATGACAGCTGGTCTTAGGGAGGTTCCCTGTTGGTTTAGGCAGCGGCTCAACAACATCAGGGATGGTTTTTCCTGTCCTTGTGCTCTGCCATCCTCAGGGTATCAGCCACTTCCTTCCTGTCCAATAAGGGACAGCAACTCAAGGCATAATGAACATAAGTGGGGAAGAAAGCAGAGCCCTTCATCTGTTCCCTTTTTAGAAGCAAGAAAACTCTCTCAGAAATCCCCTCTCAGGGCTGTTCTGCCTGATTCACATAACAAGCCTTGCAAGGAAATAGAATTATAATGTGTGATTTAAGATTAATCAAGTTAGAGGCTGGAAAGAGGCCCAACTTCTCCTAATACCTGACAGAATACCAACAGGAGAGGAATGGCTGCAGGATAGGCAACCAAGGGTATCTTCACAGGTGCCCTGAAGGAAGTCCAGTCAAGTGTTCTCACTTGTGCACCAAGCCTCAACTGAATTTCTCAAAAACAAAACAAAAGCCAAACCCCCTCAACATGTCCAACACCGAACTCATGATTCACATCAAAGTGGTCTTTTCCAGGGCTCTTTACAGCACCACCATTCCAGCTGCTGAAGCCAGAAAAGGAGCAGTCACTGTATCCTCCTCTTTATTTTTCATCCCCAGTATCTAGGACATCACCAAGTGCTGTTGATTTACCTCCAAATCTACTCACTCTCTTCACCTCCATTGCCACCATCCTAGTCCTAGTCACTCACCATCGTCAGCTCTTCCCTGGACTTCTGTAATAATCTCCTGCTTGGTCTCCCGCACCTATTCTGACCTCTCCCAACCTATTCCTTTGCAATGCAGTTGAAGTAGCCTTTTCATAATAAAAGTCTGGCCATGCTTAAAACTTGCTTACCCCTGCTGGTATAGAACAAAGACGAAAATAAGGCCCCTGCTGATCTGCCCCCTACTCTACTTTCCGGTTACACTGGATCTCGGTGAGCTTGAATGTGTTGTGCTCCATTCCATCCCAAAACTTTTGCTCCTCGCCATCCTCAGCTTAACCGTCACTTTCCAGGGAAGGCCTCCACAGACTTCCTAATTGGGTCAGATTCCTTCGCTATAGGCGCCTTCAGAACTCGGGACCTTCCCTTGGGGCACTTTTTCTCAGTCTACAGACCAAAAGATCATCGAAGACCTGGATTTAGGAGCTCTGGTAGCATAGTGCCTAAGGCACTTGACTGCTAACCAGAATGCTGGCGGTTCAAACCCACCAGCCACTCCTCGGAAGGAAGGTTGGGCAATGCACTTCCATAGTGATAGTGCCTCGGAAACCCAAATAGGGGTCTCTATGAGTCCAGACCAACTCGAGGGCACATAACAACAACACAACGTAATGCCTGACACATAGTAAGTACTCAATAAATAGTTGTTGAATGGCTAGATGGATATACAAACTTCGAAAAAGACTTGCCAATAACGAATGTGGATCCAGGTTCAGAGAGAGCAGACATTACAGTCGTAACCTAACGGCTTCTCCAAGCGGCCTGGACCACAAGCCCCCGCTACAATTCCCAATAGCCCCGCCCCTTGGGCCCCGCCTTTCCTAAATAGGACGGAGGGGGAGGGGCATAGAGGTCGCATGACGAGACAGCAGCTGGTCCGTGATTGGGCTTCCAGGCGCGCCGGCTAGGAAGGGGGCGTGTCCGCGTGTGCTGATTGGCCCTCCGGCGGAGTCTAGGCAGGCTGCGGCGGCGGCGGCGCGGGGGTGGCCGCCGGGCCGGGAGGCGACCGGGCAGGGCAGGGAGGGAGGCAGCGGCAGCGGGTGGGATGGGTCCTCGCTACCGGCTTCGGTGAGATTCGCTCGCGTGGGCTGCCCGCTGCGGGCCCGCAGTGGCCGCGGCGGTATGAAGGGCGCTCTGGGGAGCCCCGTGGCCGCTGCCGGCGCCGCGATGCAGGAGAGTTTCGGCTGCGTCGTGGCCAACCGCTTTCATCACCTGCTGGACGACGAGTCAGACCCGTTCGACATCCTGCGCGAGGCCGAGCGCCGGCGCCAGCAGCAGCTGCAGCGCAAGAGACGCGACGAGGCGGCGGCGGCGGCAGCCGGGGTTGGCACCCGTGGCGGCAAGAGCCCGGCTGGGGCCTCGGGCCACAGAACTGGCGCGGGCAGCGGCCGGAGGGAGTCCCAGAAGGAGCGCAAGAGCCTCCCGGCCCCTGGCCCGCAGCAGCCGGACAGCCCCGGGGGCAGCCAGCAACCGCTCGGTACGCGCATCCTGCTGGCACCTGGGCGCCCCCGGGTGGGCGCGGCTGGCTGGCGGAGGAGGAGAATGGGGTCACGAAGGTCACCCTCTTAAGCTGCCCTCGACCCCCACAGTGAAATTGGGGCCTCAGGAACCACGTTCCAGAAAGGAGAGGGGGCTCTAGGGAGAGTTGGTCCTTGTGGCAGTGGAAGGTAGGAAAGAGGAACATGGTGTGGAGCTGGGTGATCCCACTCATTCTGGCCTTTCTCAGCCCCTTCTGTGCGGGAGGGGTGCACGTAAGGAGTCTTGAAACCCTGGAACTGAGCCCTTAGATCAAGTTGGACAAAGTTGAGGAATATTGCTGAGGCGGTGTGTGGGGCTGCTACGCAGGGGGTCTCAAATCAGTCAGCAAGGAACCGAGCTCAGCCTCCGCAAGATTGGGCTCTGGAGGCAAAAAGAGAAGCGTAATGGGGAGGGAGGGGAGTCCCTCTTAGATGAGGGTGGGGAAGAGAGCACCCACACTGGAGGTGGTGGTGAGAGACTGAGATGTGTGAAGAATGGCTGGGAGGCCGGGGTGAGGGCTGCCAGGCCTCTATGATGGAGGGTAGGCCTGGTGACCGCGTGGGGCTGGGCTGTGACGTCAGGTCTGGTTGAGGTGGCCACGGGATCCCCAGTTGCTTGCAAGCTTTGTACCTTTAATCCATATACATATACAAACTTCCAGTCTTGAGCAGACATAGATTTTGAATGCATCTCCTAATGTTGTTGACGGGATGTGTAACTTGGAATTAACTCAAGCTGCTCTAAGGAAATCCTTTTTAACCTTTTCAACAATATCCAAGGTTCCCTACTCCCTGTTTAGCAAGAAGGGGCAGTGCAAAGCTTGGTGCACTACTGTGTACATACAGGGAGTATACTTCAGAGGTAATTTCTCTCCTGCAACTGACATAGTGGCATTATCAGCGAAACTCCACCAGTGTTTCCTCTGTTTTCCTGAAATAAGGCAGTGGTAGGTCCAAAGGTTTGCAGAAAAAATGCTGTTAAGATGTGTAATTTGACCTCTCCAGCCATCTTTTGGCAACGTATTCAACTTGGTTTATTGGTTTGTTCATTGCTTGATAAAAATTGTGCATCTTGGCTATCCCTAAGATTGCACATAACAACAACAACAAGATTGCACCCTGCTTTAAATATTGGGGCTTTGACTTGTGGAACTAGGTAATGATTTACCTTTACCTGTGGAAAGCCCAGTCCATCGATATCATTTGAGAATCAAAAAATAAAGTCACTACAATAAAGGTGTTGAAAATGACAGAAAAATGCTGTTGTATCCAAGACCTCAGCCCGGAACTTCAAGACTTTACTTAAACAGCAAAACTTGAGATGTTTTTTACATGTTGTGTTATGTTCTGTTTTTATTGCATTTACTTAAGGATAAATATAGCAGTAAATTAAAAACTTAGGCTAATCTTTTTGTCTCCCTTGTTGTTTGTCTGACAAATGAAAATATTTTCTTTAGAGTAGTGTGAAACTACGTTTAGTGATAATTACTAATACAGCAATAAAATATTTAAAATGTACATTGATATTATAAAAACTTAAACAATTCATAAATGATGAAATGAAAATTTCTTATTTTCCCTCGTGTCAACAGCTTCTGTCTAGTTATACAGAATTTTTTCCCTAATTTACATGAATAGTTGCAAATGGCTACCTTCACTTGACATTGTAATCTGTTAGAAACTGTAGCTGATTTTGTAGTTAGAATGAAAATTTTGTCATTTTAGTACCTTTTTGATTATGTGTTATTTCATGAGCTCATTAATTCTTATGTATGTAGTTATTGTACTAAATTTATCTGTAATGGGTGTTAGAGAGTTATTCTCTTAAAGCTTTATACTCATAATAGGAAGGATCATATTTTTCTAACTTACAATTTTTAATTTAGGTAGAATATTATAAATGAATGCTTACTATCAAGGAATCAAAGTCTAAACATGTTCAGCAATGTTTAGGAACATTTATTAATCCCCAAAGAATGTGGGAATTAGAGGATTTTCCCATAGAAACTTAGGTTTGTAATATCTATCCAGCAATACAGGCTTACCTTGGAGATACTGTGGGTTTAGTTCCAGACCACCACAATAAAGCAAATATGGCAATAATGTGAGTCACAAAAAATCCTTAGTTTTTTATTTCCCAGTGCATATGAGTAGTATTTACACTATAATGTAGTCTATTAGACTACTGTGTAGAACTGTGGTGGCATTGGGTTAAAGCATTGGGCTGCTAACCAAAAGATTAACAGTTTGAACCCACCACCTGGTCTGTACAAGAAAGATGAGGTAGTCTGCTTCTGTAAAGATTTATAGCCTTGGAAACGCTATGGGGCAGTTCTCTGTCCTATAGGGTCATTATGAGTTGGAATTGACTCTATGTCAATGTGTTTTGGGGTAGGATAGTCTATTAAGCGTGCAATAGCATTATGGAAAAAGTTTGAAGTATTGAAAGAATTACAAAAATGTGACACTGACATGAAGTGCACACATGCTGTTGGAAAAATGATGCTGATAGACTTGCTTGATGCAGAGTTGCCACAAACCTTCAATTTGTTTTTTTAAAAAAAACACCCCAGTGTCTGCGAAGTGCAGTAAAACGAGGTTTGCCTGTACACACAAGCCCTGTGTGTGCTTTGCTAAATAGATTCATTCTTCAAGTCACCAGCGTCTGTTTCAGCTCTGCTTTCCTAGCCTTTCAGAACTATGGTCTTTGAACCAAAGCTCAATTTTTATTTTGTAGGAACCGCACTGTAAATTTCATTGTATTCTGCCCCTTCACATGGGCTTAGGCTGAGAATCGTGATGGAACTGGTTGTGCCAGCTGCTTATTGGGAAGGGCCAGGAAAATGCAGTGTTTGCAGTATCCGCTTGGAGCCACTGATCCAGCAAAAGAAAACAAGCCAGCTTCAGTCGCAGTCTTGAGGCCTTAATACTAAAGTATGAGGGGGGGGGGGCGGAAATAGACCTTTTTTTTCATTTCTTTTGTGTCTAAGAGGCAGAATGAAATGTTTGTCAGGAAATTGATAGAATTATCCTAGTAAGTGGCCAATCTTATTTAACAGGTTTCAAATGAATACCTAAATTTTAAAACAGGGTTTGATATAGAGCATGCAGTAAGTGTCATATTTTAAGTTGTAAAAAGTGAATGCCAAATTGATGCAATTAAAAATAACTTGGAAGGAAGCAGCAAGAAGGTGGAATAAGCCTAAGTCATTCTGTTGGTGAGTGGAGATGTTAAAATTGTTTTAAAACTACCAGTTGTAAGAAAGAAATTTAAAGTTGTATTAGAATTCAACTTTTTTTACATTCAGGGAAAAGCATTGAAAATTATCATTACAGTTAACATTTCCTAATGATTGTTGTATGATGGTATAGTATAATTTCCAACTTGTTAGATAATGTCTTTCCTAATGAAATAATTTTCATAATGGCATTTTCTACATTTTATTTTGAACACCTTTTCCAATTTTGATCTCTTTAAAGTATGTGCCAACAGATCTGGCGTTACATATGCTCTTGGGCAAGGGTTTCAGTCTCTGTCTTGATGCTTCTGCAATAAAAGCATCATGCTCCATTTATGATAACATCTTTCCCACATCCTAAATAAATAACGAGCTCAAATTGTGACCTCACTGTAGAATGCAAATCATATCTAAACATTGCTAGGTTATGAGACATTAAAAACCAAAGGAGAGTGAACTTAGTTCTGTTATACAACTTATTTCAAAATAATAATACTTTAATATTTCACATCTGAAAAAATATGTTAACTATAGAGTCACACATTGCACAATCCTATTTTTTTGTGATGTCACGTACTTGATTTCTGCTTGACAATGAGTCCGATAAGATATTGGAGCTATGTTCGTGTTTACCTGGGCTCAGTTTATAAAATTTAGGTAGAAAATATTAAGTGGAGAAATAGAAAAATATGTATAAACATATATTCCTTAAGGCCCATAGGTATATCTGTCTCAGTGGGAGAGGAATCCAGTAGTTTAAAAATACATCCAATGATTTGAATAAATTGAATATTTTTATAGCCATGCAACCAATGGAAAAAGTAATTTTTCCCAAAACAGAACAAAACCTGAAGCCACTGAAATCAAAATGGTACGTGATGTTTGAGATGGAGAGCTTTTAAACCGTTTGTTGTTGTTAATGCCGTCGAGTCAGACCCAACTCGTAGCGACCCCTCCTTTGGTTTCTGAGACAGTATCACTACAGAAGTAGATTGCCCACCCTTCCTTCCGAGGAGTGGCTGGTAGGTGTGAACCACCAGCCTTCTGGTTAGCAGTCAAGTGCCTTAGGTACTATGCTACTAGAGCTCCTTTTTAAACTGTATACCCAGAAGATACAAAAGAACAATATTAGAAGATGGTGAAAGAAGTGACAAAGTTCATAATATGTTTACCAAATATTAGATGGCTTCAAACATAGACTTTGCTTAAAAGTTTTAAAGCAAGAAAGCTAGAGGGGAGTAAAGTGAGTGGAAAGATAGGAAAAGGCTAGTGTCCCTATACCTGTTCTGTCCTGACTGGGGCTGGCCCCTTACTGCCCTCTCTTCAAGTACTTACTGTCTCTTGTGTGAGCTGGCTTATCAGTTTGGCTGATATTTGAGAATAGATTGCAAATGTATAAATCTCATCAAAGAGCAGGAAAATCTGTTTTCAAAAGAAAAAGATGTAGTGACAAACTCTGGGTTAAAAAAACAAAACATGAGAAGCTGAATATAAATTTACACTTGCTTCCTGTTTATATGCAATTGGAGTTCTAAAAATACAATCTGAAATACATAATATTGATCATTTAATTTTCTAGCTGTGGCTTACCTGCCAGATTTTGGTAAAGCTTCTTTTGGAAAATGTAGTAAATTTAGCAAAATAAATCCATAGCTGTCACAGAATCATTGTAAAATGCCTAGAATTATAGGTTAGCTTGTATAATTTATGTTATACTTTGTAGGCTATAAAAGCAAGCATGTGATTCATTAGTAACTATTAAAGGTTTTATTAAACGGTAGTTGACTCTGTGAGGAGCCCTGATGGAAAGTGGTTAAAGCACTCAGCTGCTAGCCAAAAGATGAGGCAACCTTTTGGAGCAGTTCTTTGTCCTGTAGGGCTGCTGTGAGTCGCAATCAACTTGATGGCACTGGGTTTGACTTTGTAGTCAGATTATTGGCAACTTTCTTTCTTCTCCTGTACTTTTCCAAGTTATATGGGTTTTCCTGGGGCATCGTCATCTAGAAAAGTGAAATTTATAAGTACCTTAAAGTTTTTAACAATGTGCCATTCTGCAGACCTGTGATCCAACTCCCTCCTTTGATTTCCTGCTAGCAGGCCAGAAGCGAACTTCTAGAAGAGGGGAGCAGCAAGGATGGAATGATGGTCGCGGGACAGAGGCAGCGCTGGATAGAACAGAGCGGAGATCCTACCGAGAATACCGACCCTATGAGACCGAGAGGCAGACAGAGTTTACAGATGAAAAGTATGTACCACAAACCTTGTGGGGAGCGGTGGGGGTACCAGAGGGCCTTTAAAGAACCACTGGCCTTTGCAATCTGTTTTTCGTGCCAATCCTAGGAATGTTTTACCAATTCAAGTGGCAAATCCTATTTGACATGGAAAAGACCTTCCATTTATCTCATAGATGACCTTAGGTTTTGATTCAGAAAAGAATTTTACAATGAAAAATGAATTGTGTATTGGTTACTATGAAAAGTACTCTAGTAAAAAGTTTACAGGAGTGTGTCATGCTGGTTAAATTTTCATTTGAAGTTCTAACTTTAGGCTAGGGTACAATTGTGGTTTTGATTTAGGATTACTAACTTAGACTAGTAATAGGTTTAAACTGAAATCCCTCCTTGTCCATGGTCAGGTCAGTAGGCTGTCATGATGAAATTTGAGAAAAACTGGTGTAATGTAACATCATTTTTTGGATAGCGTACCTTTTGGCTGATACAGTCTTATATTTCACCTGAGTGATGTAGCAGTGGGCAGGCTGGCTATGCCCCACTTGTAACAGGTAGCAATTACTTGTTTTATGCCTGATGTTAATAAGATTGCCACTTGAAGTTCCTGTTGAATTATTAAACCTACGTAACCCAGAGTTTAGATGAAACAGAAACTAGTGTATCACATATAGAGGTAAATAAAGTAAAAAGGAAAAGAGCTCTGGTGGTACAGTGGTTAACTGCTCAGCTGCTAACCAAAAGGTCTGCAGTTCAAACCTACCAGTTGCTCTGTGGGAGAAAGATGAGGCAGTCAGTATGTTTCCATAAATATTTACAGTCTTGGAAACCCTGTGGGGCAGTTCTACTCTGTCCTATAGAGAATGGTTAAAGTAAAAAGGTTTACAGAAGGCCAGAATAAAAAAAAAATTAAAAATCCTACTGCCATCGAGTCAATACCAACTTACAGCAGCCCTATAGACAGAAGAAAACTGCCCCATAGGATTTCCAAGCCTGTAGATCCTTATAGAAGCAGACTGCCTCATCTTTTCTCCCATGGAGTGGTTGGTGGGTTTGAACTTCTGAACTTTTGGGTAAGCAGCTGAATGCCTTAACCATTGTGCCACCAGAGCTCCTTTAAGGCCAGAATAGTGTATCGTTAATGTCAAGTAAGCCATTATTCACCTAGTTTTCTAATCCCTGACCATTTAGGATCCTTGATACAAGTTTTAAACAAGAACATGGCTCTGTAAAAACTATACTCCATTAAAGAAATAGAAGGCTATTAGAGAACAGCTCAGTCTAAGAGGGCCAAGCAGGTGGCAACTTCTGCAAATCTGTTCTCGTAAAAGTTAAATATTGAGAACATTGAGATGTGGAATCCACCGTCACATTGGAAGGAGACAGTTACAGAAAACTTTAATTCTGTTTTTTTGGTAACTGCTTGAAATGTGCTGCACAGTGATCACAGTCTACTTGCTCACTAAATGCCTTCTAGATCAGAGGTTATTTTGGGAGGCATTTGGGTATTTTTTTTTTCCCGTTACTTTGGAGATTCACTTTGTAGAAATAAGGAAATAATAGTTCAATTGTATAAACCCAGTCACTCTTTTTTAGTAGTCAAGCAATGTAGTTTTTTTTTTTTTTCCTTCTGTTTTTGATAACTTTTTATTATGATTTCAGTGAAGGTTTACAGAACAAATCACTTTTCTGTTCAACAAATCTGTACACGTTTTGTTTCATGCTACTGATTGCAATCCCCACAATGTAACGTCATTCATCCCACTTCTCCCTGTGTTTCTCATTTCCATTTGTCCTTCTTTCCTATCCCTTCCTGCCTTTTGAACTTTGTCTCTTTTCAGATGCTGCCCTTTTGATCTTTTTTTTTATTGTGATTTGTGTGAAGATTTACAGAGCAAATTCACTTTCCATATAGCAA